CAAAGTTACAGTTTTTCCAATAGTCATACATGGATGTGAGAGTTGGACCATAAAGAAGACTGAGCGCCGAAGAACTGATGCTTTTGAACTGTGGTGCTGAAGAAGACTCTTGAGAGTCCCCTGGACTACAAGAATATCAAACCAGTCAATCATAAAGGAAATCAACTCTGAATATTCATTAGAAAGACTGATGCTGAAGCTGAGCCTCCAATACTTTGGCCACTTGATCAACCTGATGTGAAGAGCTGACTCACTGGAAAACGCCCTGATGCTGGCAAAGACTGAAGGCAAAAGGAGAAGGGGGCAGCAGAAGATGAGATGGTTGAATAGCATCACCGACTCAATGGACATGAATTTTAGCAAACTTTGGGAGATAGTGAAGGACAGGGAAGCCTGGCATGCTACAGTCCATGAGATGGCAAAGAGTCTTAGCAGACTTCCTAATTGAACAACAGCAATAATCAAAGAACAAACAGTGGGCAGTGACCCAGTTCCTAGAAATCTCCACCCTTTCTGTGAAGTAACTGAAATAATCCTCCCACTCAACAGACTATGAAATTACCCTGCCTGTAAAAACTAACCACACGCCATATTTTGAGGCCCCTCACCTTCTGAGATGGTCCATACTGTGGAGTGTGCTTATATTTAAATAAATTCAATTCTTACCTTTCACTTTGTCTCTCACTGAATTCTTTCTGTGACAAGACACCAAGAACCTGAGCGTCATTAAGTCCTAAGACCAGGTAAGTATTCACAGACAGTAAAATTCAAATGCACGTGGGAAAAAAATCAAAGAGCATCAAGTTACAGCAATCATATAATTATAAAAAAAGAAGAAAAAGTAGAAATGCCTGTTTTCTCCTCTATTTTTAAAAATTGTATACAAAAATGTATAAAATAATATGTACAAAAGGTATCAGGCTTCCCAGGTGGCATCAGTGGTAAAGAACCTGACTGCCAATGCAGGAGATGTAAGAGAAGTGGGTTGGATCCCTATAAGGAAGAACCCTTGGAGAAGTATTCTTCACTTCACTCCAGATCCCCACTGGATCCCATGGGGATCCCCAAGATCCCCAGTACAGTATTCTTGCCTGGAAAATCCCATGGACAGAGGAGACACTACTGAAGCAATTTAGCATAGCATATGAAGTATCATAAGCCTTTGACTGTGTGGATCACAACAAACTGTGGAAAATTCTTAAAGAGATGGGATTACCAGACCACCTGACCTGCCTCCTGAGAAATCTGTATGCAGGTCAAGAAGCAACAGTTAGAACTGGACATGGAACAACAGACTGGTTCCAAATCAGGAAAGGAGTAGGGCAAGATTGTATATTTGTCACCCTGCTTATTTAACTTATATGCAGAGTACATCATGAAAAATGCTGGACTGGATGAAGCACAAGCTGGAATTGAGACTGCCGGGAGAAATATCAATAACCTCAGATGTGCAGATGACACCACCATTAGGGCAGAAAGCGAAGAAGAACTAAAGAGCCTCTTAATGAAAGTGAAATAAGAGAGTGAAAAAGTTAGCTTAAAACTCAACATTCAGAAAACAAAGATCATGGCATCTGGTCTCATCACTTCATGGCAAGCAGATGAGGAAACAATGGAAACAGTGAGAGACTATTTTTGGGGCTCCAAAATCACTGCAGATGGTGACTGCAGCCATGAAATTAAAAGATGCTTGCTCCTTGGAAGAAAAGCTATGACCAACCTAGACAGCATATTAAAAAGCAGACATTACTTTGCCAACTAGTCAAAGCTAGTCCGTCTAGTCAAAGTTATGGTTTTTCCAGTAGTCATGTATGGATGTGAGAGTTGCACTATAAAGAAAGCTGAGCGCTGAAGAACTGATGCTTTGAACTATGGTGTTGAAGAAGACTCTTGAGAGACTATTGGACAGCAAGGAGATCCAACCAGTCCATCCTAAAGGAGATGAGTCCTGAATATTAATTGGAAGGACTGATGCTAAAGCTGAAACTTCAACACTTTGGCCACCTGATGCAAAGAACTGACTCATTGCAAAAGACCCTGATGCTAGGAAAGATTGAAGTTGGGAGGAGAAGGGGACGACAGAGGATGAGATGGTTGGATGGCACCACCAACTCAGACATGAATTTGAGTAAGCTCTGGGAGCTGGCGATGGACAGAGAAGCCTGGTGTACTGCAGTCCATGGGTTCACAAAGAATCAGACAAGACTGAGCGACTGAACTGATAAGGTATCATTGGATATATAACACATAGAAACATAATATATGTATATTTGCCAAAATATCACAAAGAAGGTGAGTAGGAACAAACCTGTAGCAGACTAACAAAATGCATAAGATGTAAAGTAACATACTGTTGAGTTTGTAACAATACATGTTAATGTGTTTAACAATAAACAACCAGGAATTCCCTGGCAGTCCAGTGGGTAGGACTCTGTGCTCTCATTACAGTGGCTGGGGTTCTATCCCTGGTCAGGGTACTAACATCCCACAAGACATTACAGCCAGATAATAACAATAACAGTAATAATAACACCAAAAAAGAGGATAAAAGGGAATAGATCTATGCAGGAGTACTGTTTATATCTCTGGAATTAAGCTAGTATAAATCCGAAGCTGACGCTGTTAAGATGGATATGTTAAACCCTAGAGCAACTATTAAACAAAAACACAGTGAATGAAGAACAGAGGAACATAAAAGACACGAAAATAAAACACACAGAAAATGAGACACACAGAAAATGAAAAGTAAAGTGGCAGATGTGAATCCAACCAAATCAATAACAACACATGAATAGATTAAACAACCCAATCAAAAGGCAAAGATTGTCAGACCCAATCAAAAGGCAGAGATTGTCAGACCCAATCAAAAGGCAGAGATTGTCAGACTATATACTGTCTTCAGGAAACACCCTTTAGATTCAAAGATAAACTTTCACTTTGAGAGTGAAAGGATGAAAAAAAGGTTATCTCATGCAAACAGCCATCATAAGAAAGTGGGAGTGGCCACACAGGTATCAGACAAAAGAGACTTTAAAACAAAGATGGAACATTTTATAATGATAAAAGGGTCAAACTACCAGGAAAGTAACACAGATAAAAACATATCTACCTAATAACAAAGCACCAAAATACAAGAAGACCCAACAAGAAATGAACAGAAAACAGACAATTTTAGTTGGAGACTATTAATAGTTGGAGACTTCAACAATAATAGTTGGAGAATTCAACATGCCACTTTGAATAATGACTACAACTAGACAAGATAGCAAGCCAATTCGTTGTTGCTTAGGGCAGGTGGGGGATCGGGAGGTAGAGGGTGAGTGCTCAACGATATGAGATTTCTTTTTGAGGTGATGAAAAGATTCTAAAATTGACTACAGTGATAGTTGCACATATCTGCAAATATATTAAAAACCACTGACTTTCACATTTTATATGAGAAACTGTATGAGATAATGTGACCTATCTCAATTAAGTAGCTAAAAAAATTATTTTAAAGATGTCAGAGATGAAAAAAAAAAAAAAGATGTCAGAGATGAGTGCTAAATGCAGTGAAACTGCAATGAGAAATCTGGTTATCAGATCTGGTTCTGGGGGGGAAACAACTATAAAAATACATCGCTGGGACATCTAAAAAATGTAAGATATGGGCTGTGGATTCGACAACAATATACTTTCCATTTAAGAAATAGATGCTCTAATTATAGCACAGGCATCAATTCTCTTACTTGAGTCCAGATTTATTGAACAAACACTGTGATCGCGCAGAAAGCACCATGAACATTTTGGTCCAACAATGTACCAATTTGTGTCCTAATATTCCCTGAATGCTGAAAATGTTGGAGGAAAACGAACATTTTAGATGGAAAAAAAGAGCATAATGATGTTTTAATGGTATGAGCGACCTAAAAAGTAAATGAAACAACGTATTAGAAAAGAATTACAATTGACAGCTAAAAGCATTAACGTTATTGGAAGGCTCAAACACCAAAAACTCACAGTTTCTTTCAACATCTAACATAGGCATCGCCTCCTTACTATTCATACCATTCATTAAGATTCATCAAATTAGTCCAAAATCCAGTCCCTTGGCTTTAAAAACCAAGATTTCTTAAAAGGGTTAGGCAATGTAAAAGGTGGGGCACATAGACAGGAACAGCAAAGGACAATGGAAGGATTTATCCAAAGCAAAAATGACAGGCTCCCCTCCGTGAGAAAAAGGAAGAACTTCGATGGTTTCCCCTGAGAAGAAAAAACGGGATTGTGAGAATGTAAAGACACAAATGAATTCTGTGCTTTAAAAGTCTCTTATCTAAGACGAGTCCACAGCGGACCCTCCAAAAGAGAACGAGGTGCATAGAACAATATAGTAGGTTCTCCCCTTCAGAAACGTCAGTAATGTAGAATTAAGCAGAAAGAGGGGAGAACGTGATCCGACCCTCAAATGAGGATGCTAAAGAGGCAGCCCCGACTGGGACTCGGGAAGGGACCAGCGACGAATGGAAGGTCCGAGAACGGGAGGGAGGAATCAGCACGTCGCTTGGGAGCGCCCGGATGTCTGCTCTCCGTCTCGGTTTGCTGCTCAGCCCCAGTACCTAGAACTGCGCCACGCTCTTAGCGTGCGCCCAGTACACAGATGGGAAGACAGCTGTTCCATTAATGTACAGTCTGGAGAGACAGAGACGCCAATCACCCTCCCTCGCCGTTCTGTGCGCTCCTACCCTTCACGGCCAGCAGGAAAGCTTGTACTTGTGGGAGAGAACGGGTTCACGAAGCTGGGGCTCCTCACTTACTTTTGCAGCCGGGCGCCATCATGCCCTCAGCCCTCGATCCCGAGACCGACGGAGCGACCGTACTCACTTCCAGCCGCGCACCGCGCGGGGATTCCGCCCACTCAAGATGGCCGCGAATTTAAATTTGGCGCTCAGGCCTGACGTTGACGCCAGAGTGAAGGCCGCCATGTTCCCCGGCCTTGGGTCAGGGGGCGGGGTCTATGTGGCGTCACGAGTAGGCGCCGTCGCCTCTGTACAGGCTCTCGGAAGGCCTGTTTTCCCCCAGAGTCGCTATGAGCAAGCGGAACCAGGTGTCGTATGTGCGGCCAGCCGAGCCGGCCTTCCTGGCCCGCTTCAAGGAACGGGTCGGCTACAAGGAAGGGCCCACCGTAGAAACCAAGGTGAGCCCGGGCTTGTCGAGTTACCGCAGAAACGCGACCGGCTCCGCTACTTTCTGCTTCTGCCTTGGAGGCCACATACTGACGGGTCCCCACTTCGCGCCCACTCTGGGCCCTCAGTCCGAGTGTCATCGGACCCCAAGCTCGTCCTCTTCAAACATTTACAGCCTCTTGCGCCCAAAAAGCTGTTTGTCGTTTTCACAGTGATGTTGTGTTCTGAAAATGACTCAGGTAAAGCTCCCCATCCTTGGTAGATAGTACTTTAGGAAAGATCATTTTTCTGTCCCTTCATTTTCACTTGCTCATCCCAAAACCTGTAGCTAACAGTGTAGGTGATAGTGTCGTCCCACCTTCCAGGTAAAGAAACTGAGCACTTAATCAAATGACCTAGTTACTTCCCTGGTGGCTCAGACGGTAAAGCGTCTGCTTACAATCTGGGGAGACTCTGGTTCAATCCCTGGGTTGGGAATATCCCCTGGAGAAGGAAATGGCAACCCACTCCAGTACTCTTGCCTGGAAAATCCCATGGATGGAGGAGCCTGGTGGGCTACAATCCATGAGTTCGCAGAGTCGAACACGACTGAGCGACTTCATTTTCTTTCTTTCTTTTTAACATCCTAAGCCTCGAATCTAGAACATCTTTAAGAATGTCTTAGATCTACTTCTGTCCTTTGTTCTTACCTCCTAAAAAAAGATGGAAAGCAAATACTTTTCATATCCTAGATCTGAATAGGATCATGAGAGTCAATTTCTATGCCCTCCCAAACTCCTTCCTGAACTGATTCACATCAAAACCTGCCCTGTCTCTTCTAATAGAAAGAGAACACGCCGTTATGCTTAGGACATGTGTGGAGAAATAATTTATTTGGCACTTTATCTAGCATTTGCAGTAAGACCCACTTGCATGTCATCTAGTAGGACCCAAGATTGACTTAAGTGCAGTTAGTCCAGTATGTGTTAACCCCAGGCACTGGACCAGGCTCTGAAAGGACTAAGAGATGGATTTCCAAAATGCTATGTTCTTTAATTTTTACACATTTATTTCACTGCATTGGGTCTTAATTGCTGGATGTAGGGTCTTTGTTGTGGCATGCTAGCTTCTCTCTAGTGGGCTTAGTTGCCCCCCCATGGCATGTGGGATCTTAGTTCCCAGACTAGGGACTGAACCCACATCCCTTCTGTTGGAAGGCAGATTCTTAACCACTGGACCACCAGGGAAGTCCCTACCATGTACCTTAAGCACCTTCCTGCCTGCCTTACCGCAACCTTCACAGGTCACCACCTCAGCGAAGCCCTTTGAACCTCCCCCTCAACAGTTACTCCTCTGTTCTTCTCTTCATTCTATCCACATATCTGTAGTACTTACTATTCTGCATTGCAGCTGCTTGCTCTTCTTGTATCTCCTTCACTAAATCTAACTCTTTAAGTATCTTAATCCATCTATATTTTCCTAGTACAGTGTCTATGACCTCACCTAGTGTGTGAGAAGTTACAGTGGTTAGATAACTGTGCTTATCATCAGGCAACACTTCATGGGGGAAGGGATATTTAGCCTGAATCTTAACCATGGGTAGGTCAGCAGCTAGAGATGGAAGGAACAGCATGGGTAAAGGTGTAGAGGTGGTAAATCATGGACTGTGTGTATAAGTGGTTGAGGGACTGATAGAGGTGAGGCTGTATGAACTATTCATTAGGCAACAAGGAGCCATGGTTAGAGATAACATGATCAAGGAGTAACTGGTCCCCAGGACCGAAATCAGAGACAATGGGAAAGAGGATAAGGTTTGAGAAAAGGGACATGGATGAAGCAACGAGGAGAATATGCAACCTAATATTATAGTTTGCTTCAGGTCCTAGTGATGATCATGTGTGTGCATAGTTAATACCCTGAAGATTGCAGCTTGGAATCCTGTCTTAGGAGAACTTGGGGAAAAGCTTTCCAATTAGTATCAGTGATTTGGGCTAACAGTTTTGATCAAGAGACTTTTCTGTAGATAGATGCAACATGTACCTATGTTTGTGAAACCAACTTCATTCTTAATCATTTTGGCAGGATAATCATTCTAATAATCTGTTAACAAAAAGAAAGGAGTTTCGTAGGAAATCACTATTTAATTGAGCTAAGTATTCTTATCCTCTTAAGAGTTAATTCAGGAGTGATTTTGAACAAAGAGAAGAGAGTTAGAATGAATTATTCTGAATGTAATAAACACCAGGAATAATTTTATTTCACTTTCCCATTTCCTTGGCTAAAAATACTCATTAATTACCTACTTGTTTGTGGTCATTTATTGGAAACTTTCAGAGAAAAACAGACAAAACTAATGAATAATCAGTGAACTAACATGGATGTTATTAAAGAGAATGAAATTATTCTTTAATTAAAAACCAAAGAAAAGAAGAATGTACTTGTCAGGTGATTAAGCAGACTTGGGATATAGACAAAATGATTGAATGTGCCTGTGACTTGCCACAACTTCATCATTTTTCATCCTTTTGGTCATTCATGAGTAGATTGACAAATGTTTCTTGTCCCTGCTGTTTGCCAGGCTCTGAGCCTCTAGATGCAGAGAAGAAACACATACTGCGTTGCCTAGTAGAGTCAGGAAAACATTGATGACACGGTGTGGTACATGCCACCTATGAGCTACAGATGATATGAAAAGAACAGGTGAGATCTCAAAAGCACTGCTGAAGGATCTGAGTCTAGAAGGCAGATTGATTAGGAGTTGGCCAGGGTCAGTGAGGCCTTCCAGGCCCTGGAAATTCATGCAGTATCAGGGGAGGCACAGGAGCGAATATGTTCGTGGATCTGTAAGACTCAAACCTGTCTGGAGCCCAGAGGCCATGAGCATGGCAAGAATATAAGACTGTGCTTATAGCTGTGGTTATTGACTCAGGCCAGATCCTGCAGGGCTTTGTTGCCCTGTTTGGGGGACAAGGAAGGCTCTGTGAGAGGTGGACTGACCAGCTGTTTGAATACTGTGTGGTAAGTGTGCAAGCCTTGAAACCTAACATTTCCATTCAGGGAATTCCATGTATAAGTTTGGAAAAGTAAACAAAAACATTCAAAAATTTTATCATAGTAGAAAAAACTAGAAACAACCAAAATTTTTGCTTACAAAGAACTGATCAAATAAACCATGAGATAACCATATATAGAGTTAAATAATAGTAATTTTTAAAAATAGATGATGCCATATGTATCTCAGGGTATTGTGCAAAGCGTTTTGTTTTGTTTTTCTTTGAGTAAAAAAGTTGGGCAAGTGGAGCTTTTATGGTGTCTGATATTTTTCTTAAAAATCTCAATTAGCCAAATGTTACCATGTGTTACGTGTGTAAAGTGAGTACATGGTTTCTGTTACATTATTCTCTGTACTTTTTTACGTTTGGAATTTAATAATTTAAAAAGAATAAAACAAGTCATACAGTAGTATGTTTAGTGGCCTGTTTGTATACAAAATGTTTTCTGTACCTCCACATTTTTATACACTTAGAACAGCTGATGGGATACCCACCAAACAAGCTGCTGGGAGGGAAGAAAGATGAGCAGAGAAGGAGGACCTCTCACTTGCTGCTTTCTGTACTCTGGTGGGTGGTTGTTGTTACGCTTTGAGAAGAGATGGAGTGAAAAGGGTTGATGAAGAGCGGTGAGAACTGGCACAGCCCAGCACTGCCCTGAGTAGGGTGGACATGGAAGAGAGGGCCCCTGACATCAGGGACTGCAAGTTGGGGTCCTGCTGGGATGGAAACTGGTTCCCCTGCATAGGTACCCCAGAATAACTGGCAGGTGGACCTCTTCCCTACTCTGGCGAGGTTAGGTTCTTAAGAGTTAACTTGAAAATTCACTGTCAAACACATTTAGTCAGTAAGGTCACTCTTCTTACTCTGCTGATTACAGTTTCTCACAGAGACAGTGGTTTTATTTAGTTCAGGGTCAGAACTTGAATGTTGTGTTTGTGTTTTTTCCTAGAGAATCCAGCCTCAGCTCCCAGAAGAAGATGGTGATCACAGTGACAAAGAAGATGAACAACCCCAAGTGGTGGTTTTAAAAAAGGGAGATCTGTCAGCTGAAGAAGTCATGAAAATTAAGGCAGAAATAAAGGCTGCCAAAGCAGGTATGTCTGAAAGTAAGCTGGTTTTCCCACCAATTTAACGTTAGGTATGAAATCATTTTATATAATGGTATGGTATGTTTGAAGGAGACAGTCCTAGTTCAGACTTCATTTACCAGATTTGTGACTCTGAACAAGTTATTTCACCTCAGTCTCAGTTACCTCATTAGTAAAATGGGGACAATAATTGTGCCCACCTTACTGGGTTGTTATAAGGATTAAATGCAAATTTAAGTAAAAACATCCTGTTTTTTAAAAAATACATGGTTAGGTTTATAAACCAGTCAGCAGAGGTCTATTTAGTGCCTGAAGTGTGATATGCTATATAGCATTTTATTCATTATTTATAAGTTTTTATTACATTGCTTTAGGAGGAAATGCTGGAGTTTCAAACAATCACTTTTCAAAATACTTAAAAATACAGCATGATTATGGATAACCAACAGGGACCTACTGAATAGCACAGTAGTATCTGCCCAATGGTATGTGGCAGCCTGGAGGAGAGGGGAGTTTGGTGGAGAATGGAAACATGTATACGTACACCTGAGTCATTCTGCTGTCCACCTGAAACTATCACAATACTGTTAATCAGCTATATTCCAATATAAAATAAAAAGTTTAAAATATGTGTATGTGTGTGTATTTCCTGATTGTTTTGAATTGGGGACTGCCAATATTACAGTATACTTCAGTAAATGACTTTTTATTAGGTTTTTTATTAAGTGACTGCATGTCTTCTGGGTACATAGCTAGAGGGAACAGAGAAGAACTGGCTGAATTGACTCAAGGATATCCATAAATACAGTATGAGATTTTCTTGCCATCTGACTCTCCAGTAAAGTCAAAATAATGAGAGAAAGTGTTTTAACTTTGTTTTTTGGTGCAGATGAAGAGCCAGCTTCAGCTGATGGAAGAATTATGTATCGAAAACCAGTCAAGCGTTCCTCAGATGAAAAATATTCGGGTTTATCAGCAAGCTCAAAAAAGAAAAAGGCAAAAGAAGAAGATGAAGTAAATAAGCAGGACTCAGTTAAAAAGAACTCACAAAAGCAAATCAAAAACAGTAGCCTCCTTTCTTTTGACAATGAAGATGAAAATGAATAAATACATATTTTGGACTCCTTTAAGAATATATGGGATTTTAAAAAAATAACATCTTTTTTCCTATTATAAAGTAATATAAATTCATTGAAGAAAATTTAGAAAATTCAGAAAACATTCAGCAAGATAAAAACTGTATCTATCCATCAATACCCTTTTGACCTGAACTGCTAATTCTCTAACATTAACTACCACTAACATTTTATTTCCTGATGTGGGATGTGTGTGTATGTAAATTATATTTTTGTAACCAAATTTTTGCTGTATTCTGTATGTTCTCTATCCTGCTTCTCACTTGATGTTGTATCATGAGCATTTTTCCAGGTCAGTAAAATTCAAAATCCTGACACTTATAGCTACAGAGGATTTTGTAATTAAACGGGTCCCATGTTTGATCTTCCTCTTCAGCAGAACCTCACTTTGGGTGAGGGAAATTATCATGGGCCTAGTTACCAATACTTCCCCAGCTCCTAAGAACAGCCTTGTGACAGCTCTGGTAAAGAGATACAAGTAGATCTTGAACAAGGATCTAATACAGGGGACCATGATACAAGTCATCATGTATCACATGATGACTATAGTTACATGATTTAAAAAAAAAAGATACAAGTGGAAATCTGCTTTCTGTGTATCTGATACAAGAGGACAGATTTGGCAAGCAGTTGGTTGTCCTCTCTCCATCCTGCCTGGAGCACAAACACACAACCAAGAAGTTCCAGAGCCATTTGGGGGCATGAAAAAGACAGCCACTTGTTCCAGCTGGTACACTGGACAGACTCCAGGAGCTTGGATTGTGATGACATGCCTGGAGGACCTACTGTACCAGCCTTGGACTGACTGACTGATCCATGAGGATAAACACCTTCATAGTTGAACTTCAGTCAGGTTTCTGTGATGTGCAGCCTGATGATCAGTGGTAGAATGTCTGTGTATAGAAACCTCCAAGTGTATTTCTGACGATTTCCTTAGAATGAGTTGCTAGAATCAGAATTACTGGATCAAAGTATTTGAATATTTCTAAAGCTTTTGATGCTTGCTTTCAAATTGCTTTCTAAGTAGGTGTTACCATTTTATTCATACCACCTACAAGAACCCACATCACCTCATCTCTGGTAACAGTGCACCACCATTGGACTGGCACCTTTACATTTTTGTCAATTTGATGTATTGAAAATGGTGTTTAACAGTTATATATTTAACCATCATTTTCTTTGACCAGGAAAGCTAAACTGTTTTTCATGTTACCTAAAAATTTTCCTCATTTACAGCAAGTCCACCACAACTGGAGACTTATCAAGATCCCATTCTTCACCAGCCAGAAATTAGGAATTTCAGAGCTTCCATGTTAATAATTTGGTGCTACATCTGTCTGTCGGTCATTTTAAGACCTATTGTAAAGAGTCTTAAAAGTGATTCATGTGAGTGGGCTCGCGAGTCCTGAAATAGGCTCTGTAAGTTACGCAGACTAGTCCCAAAGCCATTCTGCAGTGCTATCTTTAATGTGTACCCAACTTGTTATATAAACCAGGGTTTTTCTAATCTGTATCATTGCTATATCTATTCTTGTACCAACACCCCACTGCTTTAATTACTGTAAGTTTTAATGTGTCTTAGGATCTACAGGTGGGAGTCCTAAGGACAGCGACCTTGTCTTACCTATCTCTGTATCTTCAGTACCCAGAACAGTACCCAACATGTTAAGAACAAAATAAATACAGTGAGAATGACTGTTTCTCTAATTTTTCAATAGGCCAGTGATTCTCAAAATATAGATCCTGGACAAGCAGCATCAGCGCCTCTGGGAACCTAAAGATGCAAATTTGTATGCTTGCCTGAGAACCAGAAATTTAAGGTGTAGGGTCCAGCATTCTTTGTAACAAGCCCACTAGAAGGTTCTGATGCTCACTCAAATTTGAGAAATACTGATAAAGCCTATATAGGGAGATGAAGCCAAAAATTTAAACAAGTAACATGGAAGACTGTTTAAAAGATCTTAAATTTTAAAATGTATTATCCTGATGAAGTCCTGACTGTAGGTGACACTTCTGACAATGTAAGTGGTACCAGCCAGGAAGCATGTCTGATGAAAGCCCAAAACCAAGCTAGAGTGGCAGGTGAGATCTGTTGAGCAGCCTTCCCAACACTGTTTCACCTCCATAAACTGCTTTCTAAGAACAGTGGGTCCTGTCAACTGCAGAATCTAGTTTTCTGAGAAAGATGAGTGAGTGTGGGGCCAGAGGGGAGAGGCTAGTCCTTTCACCCCACCAGCCCCAGACTGCCTCCTTGCTTCTCATGAATGAACCATATGCACAAGTTAGACAATTAGGCCAATAATGTGATCCCAAGGCTGAGGTAGGAATCGTATTAATAAAAAGACAAGCCTGGGAACTTCCCTGGTGGTCCAGTGGCTAAGCCTCCACACTCCCAATGCAAGGGACCAAAGTTCGATCCCTGGTCAGGAAACTGGATCCCACATCTGCAACTAAGTTTGCATGCTGCAACTAAGACCCAGTGCATCCAAGTTAGTGAACCAAAGACAAGCCTGGAACATCTTGTGCCCCAAAGTAAGGAGGTCCTCAGGGAATAATGGGGATATGTCAAAAGGATGTAAGGGTAAGAGAAGGGATAGGTCTTCCTTGCAAAGGAATCCTAATTAATCAGTGTAGGAGAAATAATGGAAATAGAAAAATCACAGGTCTTCCTGGTGGTCCAGTGGTTAAGACTCCAGTTTCAATGCAGGGGACACTGGTTTGATCCCTGGTTGGGGAACTAAAATCATATGTGCCGTGTGGTGTGGCCACCAAAAAAAAAAAAAATTAGGCAAATTCCACAGTAATAAGTTCCAGTTGGCTGAATGGCAGCCTCCAAAGAGTTTGGTCCTAATTCCTTGGAACCTGGGAGTGTTACCTTATGTGGTAAAGTTTTCGCAGGTATGATTAAGGCTCTCAAGATTGAGAACCCTGGATTATCTGGGTAGGCTCCAAAAACCATCACACATCTCTTTACAAGAGAGAGGCAGACAGATTTAGACATAGACAAGACACTACAAAGAGAGGCTGAGAATGCTCAGAGCCACCAGCAGCTGTAAGAAGACTCCCCCTGAGGTCTTCAGAGAGAGCAGACCTGCCAACACTGTGACTTCAGCCTAATGAAACTGACTTCAGACTTATGACTTCTAGAACTCTAAGAAAATACATTTCTGTTCTTCTAAGCCACCGAGTTTGTGACAGTTTGTTACAGTGGCCATGGGAAACTAACGTGGTGTTGCCAAGATTCATCAAAAGATATCAAAATTAGGGACTTCCCTGGTGGTCTGGTTTACTGCAGGGGGCTCAAGTTCGATTCCTGTTCAGGGAACTAAGATCCTACATGCCGCATGTCACAGCCTAAAAAAAAAAAAAAAGGGAAATTAGTGGCCAGAAATATGCTGAAAAACAATATTTGCATAGTATCAAAGTACAGTTCCACCAGAGACTGATTAATTACAAAAGGAAAACTAGTCACTCACAGTGGAGAAATAGGCAGAGGTCACATTATCTAAATGATCAAAGTAACATCACCAGTATACTGACATCATGACCTCCTGACATGATTAACTGAAAAGGGCATATCACTTTCCAAAACCCAGGAAGATCCCCCTAGGGCCTTCCTGATGCCCTTTTCAAAGACAGAGCTCAAGTCTAATACCTAAGAGACCCAAATCCTAGCAGCTGACAAAGCACAGGAATGTCAATACAGATGCCAGAGCTTCTCTGCCAATGTCAGTGCAAAGATGCCAGCTTATACTTTCTTCTTGGAGAAGTAAATGGCAACCCGCTCCAGGACTTTTGCCTGGAAAATTCCATGGATGGAGGAGCCTGGTAGGCTACAGTCCATAGGGTCGCAAAGAGTCGGACATGACTGAGCAACTTCACTTTCTTTCTTTCTATAGTTTCTTTTGGAGGAGGAAATGGCAACCCACTCCAGTGTTTTTGCCTGGAGAATGCTATGGACGGAGGGGCCTGGTGGGCTGTGGTCTATGGGGTTGCAAAGAGTCAGACACGACTAAGCAACTAACACACATACACACATACTTTCTTCTGAAGAAGTCCTTTATTCTGTCTGAGGTTATAGGTTTCTTATCTCTGGTGTTTCTTCTATGAAACAATGTTTATAATAAATGGTAGGTTAATTTAATATGCTTACTCTTCAAATTAAAACGCCAATAAATCTGTATCAGCTTCCAAAAAATATTTTGAAGTTTATGGCCAAGGAAAACCAAACATCAAGGCCAGCTGTTTGATAGAATATTCCACAGTAATGGAAATGTTTTATATAATAGCTTTGCTATCCTTAGCCACAGGCCCATTGAGGACTTGGCATGTGGCTAGACTGAGAAACTTAACTTTTCCTTCTGTTAATTTTAATTAGTTTTAATAGTCACATATAGGAAGTTCCCTGGTAGTCCAGTGGTTAGGACTCAGCACTTCCACTACCAAGGGCTGGGGTTCAGTCCCTGATGAGGGAACTAAAATCCCATAAGCCAGAGTATTCACGTAATTAGGGGCCACTGTACTGGACAGTGCAATTTTAGGTATTACTGGGATAGACAGGAATTTTTTTAACTCATTAGGAGTTCTGCAGCTCATGAGGAAGTCTCTCGCATTTTGTAAGGGTCAGAGATGTTTTTACACTTAACATGAAACAGTGCAAAATGCAATCATATCTGATTACATGGCTCAAGATAACCAGGTCTATACAGTCAAATCAGGGAGCAGGCTCCCATTTCTGTGACCCTGTCCCCAGTTCTGGGTCCTGTCTCTCCTGAGGTTGTTGCTCTCAGAGCCTCACACTGCTATGAAAACAGTCTTTTCACTGTATCTACTCTCACCAACCTACTGCTTCTCCCGAGACATACATGAGGTCTTTCAGACAGGAGAAAGGCTAGACAGAAGGCATCTGTCCAAGTCTCAGGTTAGGAACTCTCCACTGCCCCACAGTCATTCTAGGCTAATGGCAGTCCCAAGTTTAAGGCATATGAGGTCCCAGAAGCTGGCACAGAAGGACCACTTAGTTATCATCGTTGATTTGAATGTTTCCTTAGAAACTGGCAACAGTGACAGCACAGGCCTGGCCCCAGGAGCTGCTGCGGGAGAGCTGAGCAACTCTGTGAGCTGCAGGATGGGGCCCTGAACTTTATCCATGTAGCTGATTCCCCAAATTCTCCACGTCTAGTCAGACCTTCTCGTGCTGCTCATCCCATCACAGCCTCCATTCTCTCCAGAGCCTGGATCCTCTGAACCTGCAGTGTCAGGTCTGAGGACACAAACTGTCTGTCCTACCGCCTTGACACTGAGTCCTTCCCAGCCTTCTCTTCCCTACACCACTCCAGCTGTGCGCCACTACTCTCCTCCCCTCCTACCCGGTGCCCTGACCTGAGGAGATGGTAGCGCAGAGTCAGTTTTCCCATTGCCCCTACCTCTCCCTGGGTCAACAAGTCAAGCCAGCTCTCTGGTGCAACTGCGGCAGTATTGTCTACCTCCTGGAGGTAGTTGTCTATAAACCTGTATGCAACAGAAGCTGGACATCCAATTAAAAATGAGGAAACATCCTGAACAGATACCTCACCAAAGCTATACAGACAGCGAACTATTTGCCCCACCTCGTATGTTATCAAGGAAACACAAAACAATGAGCGACCACTACATACATATTAAAATAACTAAAATCCAGAGCACTGACAACACCCAGTGCTAACAACAGTGTGAAGCAATAGGAAATCTCATTCTTCGCTGGTGGGAAATGCAAAATGGAATAGCCACTTTGGAAAACAGTTTGGCCCTTTCTTACAAAACTAAATGTGATCCAGCAATTACACCCCAGGGTATGTACCCAAAGAACTTGAAAACTTATGTTCACACACAGACCTGAACACAGATGTTCATTGCAGCTGTAACCGCCAAACTCTGAAAACAACCAAGATGTATTTGAGTAGGTGAATGGATAAACTGTGGTACATCCAAACAATGGAACATTATTCAGCACTAAAAAGAAATGAGCTTTCAAGCCATGACAAGACATGGAGAAAATTAAATGCATATTACTAAGTGAAAATAACTAATTCAAAAATTACAAAACAGTACAATTCCAACTACATGACATTCTGGAAAAAGCAAAACTATAAAGACAATAAAAAGATAAGTGGTTGCCAGGGGTTGGGAGGACATGGGGATAAACAGATGGTGCACAGAGGACTTCTAGGGCAGTGAAACTATTCTGTATGAAAAAATAATGGTGCATACATGTCCTTATATATTTATCCAAACCCTTAGGATGCATGACTCTTAAGAACCCTTATCTGCAAAGAAAATAGAGCCCTCCTATACTGTTGGTGGGAACGTAAGTTGGTACGGCCACTATGGAGAACAGTATGGAGGTTTCTCAAAACTAAAAATAGAGTTGCCATATGATCCAGCAATTCCACTCCAGACAAAACTATAATTTGGAAAGATACACACATCCCTGTTCATAGAAAAACTGTAATAGTCAAGACATGGAAATGACATAAATGTCCAAAAAGAGATGAACGGATAAAGAAGATGTGGTACATATATACAATGTAATTTTACTCAGTCATAAAAGAGAACAAAGTAATGCCATTTGCAGCAACACGGATTAACCCAGAGATTGTCATACCGAGTGAAGTAAGGCAGAGACAAATATCATATGATATCACCTATATGTGGTATCCAATAAAAAATGATACAAATGAACTTATTTACAAAACAGAAACAAATAGAGAACAGATTTGTGGTTGCAGTGGTGGGGGGTGGGGGGAAGGGGAGGGTTCAATTGGGAGTTTGGGGCTATCAAACTATTATATATAGAATGGATAAACAACAAGATCCTACTGCACAATGGGAAATTAATGGAAAAGAATATGTATATACATATGTGTTGTTTTTGTTATTTGTTCAATCATGTCTGACTCTTCTGTGTACCCTGGACTGTAACCCACCAGACTCCTCTGTCCATGTGATTTCCCAGGCAAGAATATTGGAGTGGGTTACCATTTCCCTCTCCAGGGGATCTTCCCAACCCAGGGATCGAACCCAAGTCTCCTGCATTGGCAGGTGAATTATCACTGAGCCACCTGGGAAGTGTATTTGTGTATATATGTTTTTACACACACACACACACACATATCCTGGGAAACCGATACATATGTGTATATACATTTACACACACACATATGTGGGCTTCCCTGGTGGAAATGGTAACCCACTCCAATATTCTTGCCTGGGAAATCACATGGACAGAGGAGCCTGGTGGAATACAGTCCAGGGGACACCAGAGAGTCGGACATGACTGAGTGACTGAGCACATATGTACATATGTATCTGAATTATTTTGCTGTACACCAGAAACTAACACAACATTGTAAATCAACTATACTTCAATCTTTTTTAAAGAGTCAACCCTAACTTAAACTATGAACTTTTAGTTCATGGTATGTAGGTTCATGACTGTAACAACTGTATCACCCAGATGCAGGACACTGAGAGTGGGGAGATTTTACATGTGTGGGAACTCCATGTATTTTCTATTCAGTCTTGCTGTGAACCCAAAACTGTTCTTTTAAAGTCTATTTTCAAGGAGTTCCCTGATAGTCTAATGGGTAAGACTCTGTGGTTGGGAACCCATGCCTCCACTGCAGGGGGCATGGGTTTGATCCTTGTTTGGGGAAATAAGAATCTGCATGCAGCATGGTACAGCCAAAAGAAAAAAGAAAGGTCTGTTTCCAAAAAAGGAAGAAAACATCTTTCCTTAATTATAATAATCTATCTCTGGAAAGAAAACAAGAAACTGATAATATTGGTATCTGGAGTGGCTGGCAAAAAGGTTTTTCACTATTTACTTTTGTACTTTTAGAACTTTAAACCATAAGCTTGTATTGTCCAGTCAAAAAAATTAATGAAAATTTTAAAATAAAATTAAAGGTCATACCGTCTGAAAATCCTAAGACAATAATTTTAAATGATGAAAAAGCTTTATATACAAACATGTTTCACTGGTGAATTGATAATATTACTAACAAGAGAACATACCATGTGTCAGGCAATGCACTAAGTGGACTAGTGGATTTATAAGAAAAAAATGGCATTAATTTAAATATCAAACAGAAGGGAAACAAGTCAGTAAATTATGAATAGTTCAATAAAATGTTAGGCAGCCATTGAAACAAGGTTTATAGGAAGTCTTTAATAGTATAGTTAAATGCTTATGTTAAATCAATAGCAAGATATAACACAATGATCATAGTTACTTTTTTTCCTTGCCATGCAACTTGTGGGATCCTAGTTCCCTGGCCAGGGATTGAACCTGAGCCCACAGCAGTGGACGAAAAAATGAGCATAGAAGAAAGGCTAGAATAAATATACTAAAGTAACTATTTTAGTATATTTATCTGATAAAAGCATGTAATTTTTTTCATATTTTTATTAGTTGGTGGCTAATTACTTTACAATATTGTAGTGGGTTTTGTCATACATTGACATGAATCAGCCATGGATTTACATGTATTCCCCATCCCGATCCCCCCTCCCACCTCCCTCTCCACCCGATCCCTCTGGGTCTTCCCAGTGCACCAGGCCCGAGCACTTGTCTCATGCATCCAACCTGGGCTGGTGATCTGTTTCACCCTAGATAATATACATGTTTC